CTCCTTCAACCACTGCTGTAGTCCCTCTTCTTGTTCATTTTCTTTCTCCTCCAACCACTGCTGTAGTCTCTCTTCTTGTTTCTTTTCTCGTTCTGCATGTTTTTTCTTTTTCCTCCAACAACTGCTGTAATCCCACTTCTGACACCAATTTGTTACATATCTGCTTGTAGGATAATTTCCAGTAAAAATTATTTCCGAGAAACTTCAGCGATACAAGTCCCTTCTTGATTAAAACTAGTTTATTCTTTCTCGATACAACTTTTTTGTAATACACCGAATTTCCACATCACTTTAAACTTAACCTTTATAACACATGCTATATATCACAGTGATTCACACACTTTTCTTACGGTGCATACTGTTCGCTTGACTCAATTATCTATCTCTTTGATCTATCTGCCTATATCGCTGACTTTCTTTGCCAGGCTTATATACTAAAAAAGAGGGCATCTAGCAAACACTGGGACATTCGCAGGGTTTCCCGATATATCATGATCCTTCTTGAAACTCCAGCGCTCATGCTTCCAGCATCGCATGACTTCCGCTGTCGTAACAATATGATTTAATAATCTTCCATGGGTTTTCTCTTCAAGTTTTCATAAGACTACTGAAATTATCTTATTTTTGTGACATTCATTATATATCAGAAAAACACTGAACATAACAGTAACTAGTTAGATACAAGTTAACAACTTACGTACTCTATGTTTAATTTTGAAGATCAAGTTTACAGTCTTATTTACGAAAACAATTATGTCAAGGTAATCAAACACATGGTGGTGAACAGAATGTACACAACTCCATCTAGGTGATCTAGCACATAGATACTTTAGTTATATCTTCACTATACAAAGGAACAATAAACTAAAAGCAAGTGCTACTTCACTTGTCAGAAGTAGAGGACAGTAAGATCAGCATGGGTATAGTTATAAAGTCATTATTTTGTATACAGCAACATTCCAGTGCAAAATAAGCCAAAAATGTATTATTTTGAATTTGCGAAATTTATGTGTTCTTATTTTCACAAGTGGGGCCACTAATCCATTGCATTGAACCAACTTGAATTAATTGAAAATAATCATGAAAAAGCATAATGGCCGTATTTTGATTACTTGGGTAGTTGTAATAATTTGAAAGAAACACTAATTTCAATAAGTGGATTATTTTTGTAACATTAATAAATTTAAGCATAATTTTGATTAATTAGTAATTGATGTAACCAATGCTCATAGGTAATTGAGTTAATTATCGAACTTTATTGCATATTGCACTTAGGTTATAGAAATTGTATAGGCTTATGTGTGAAAAATATTTTCTTGATCTAAAGCTGGATAGCCAAATTTAATTATATCTTGATTGTATCATATTTCTGGAGTTTTTAAAGGAGAAATAAGATGAAAATGCTGGGTACTTAAAGTAGTTAATATCTACATGTGTAGCTATAGGGTTTAACTATAAAATGACATGTTATGTATGTGTATATATGTGTGTGTGTGTGTGTGTGTTTTAACTTTTATGTCAATATTTCTTACTTAATCCCCAGGATGGAGATAATAATCAGGTAAATTAATAAAATTGCATCTCACATATTTATGCACACTAATTGTCACAAGCACCATGTTATTTAGACAGTATATTTTAAATATTTTATTGCTTGGTTAGAAGGTGTTCTCAGGAGAAACAGATAAAATATGGATTCTGTTTTATCAGTCTGTCATTTTGGGTAAGACTTTTTGTACAAAATCTCACTCTCTGAGTAAGTACTGCCAAAAATATCAAGAAATAAAAAAAAAAAAAACGTATAAATTTGATATTTTGTTCCTGGTTAAACTGTCTCTGCAACCTCCATGAGTTTTTATCTTCTGATATACCTTTATACTTCATTTTAACACCCAATCTGGAAGTCAGTGAGACCAAATTCAGGGGATCGGGTGGATTACAAAGGAGTGTCAGAGTTTCCAGTATTCAAGTATAACTCCCAAAAAAGTACATCAATAAAGGACTTGATATATTAGCCTCAAAATCCACACTTTAGTGCCAAAAGAACCCACCTCTCAATAGTGTTTGGCCAGGAAAATGCAGAGTTTAGGGTTTTGGCTGAACTTTGATCCTCTTGCACTAAATATCAGAAGTGTTCATGTTGGCTCACACTTCAGGGAGATACCACACTTAGCCACTTTACAGTGACAGGTAACCTTTGTTGAGTCTTACTCAGCCATCTCTACCAATAAGACTCATAAAAATCGTGGAGAAAACAGCTGTTTAGAGCTGAGGAATCAGATCTTGTATTGCATAACATGTGTGGCCACTATCATATTTTGTGGGGGATTATGGATGAGGTCATGGGTTTTATTCCATCATACCTGGAAACTAAATCAAACTTAGCTGTGTTGGTGGGCAATTTAGATTCTATAAATGCAAGGAAATTCAAATCTATATTCTAAATTTGAAAAAAGTGCTGTACACCAAAAATGTCTTCCTGACTTGCAGATTGGGTATTAATTACATGCTGAATTGTCAACTGCACAGGAAAACATATTTTATGCATGTTGAACACTTATGATTTCTAGTTTTTAAGAATCACTGAAAGTTTACGTTGTGTTTACATTGCCATAGTTTGCAATGACAAATTAAAAATAAGTAAGTTTTTATTTCCATCTTGCATTTTTGCCTCTGATCTGCAATTGCACAGCCACAGATTGGTAAATTTACATTTCAACATTTCGAAGAACTTGGATGATTTTTCAATAACAAATTAATATTTGCATTAATGTTTCTTCTTTCTATGTGTTTAATTTAGATGAGACTTGACAACAAAAACCATTTGAAATATTTTCAGTTTGAAAACATATTTCTTGGTTTTGTGATTAAAAACTGTTGGATGATAAAATGTTAAAGGATGAATGTTTTGATATATATTATAAACTGTTAACTGTTTTTTTAAAATGTTTTCCTAAAAAAAATAAAAAGATATCAAAATGAAAATATAATATTCCAATGTTCCTAGCTTCCAGCAAGACCTTCTCATGCTGTGCAACCGAAAGGTGAGAAAGAAAATTTTTGTTATCCATGTAGAGTGTTTACAGAAATTATTTTTGAATGACTTCAAGTGCAATATTTATAACTCAAAACTTTTCAAAACCAGTTAGTTTAAATTCGATGACGAGGAGCCCACTTTAAGACTAATAATGGCTGGAGTAATGAAGAAAAACTTTAATATAAGTTTAACATAACAGCAAATGTACAATGTTTCGACAAGGTTTTGTCATCATCAGGAAAAATATAAGTGTAAATTCTTTGTTTTCTTAGAATCATCTTTCTTTTTCTTTTTTTAACTTGCACCAAGAAATGATCAGAACCCGAGTGATACCTGATTAACAATTTATACATTTGTTTAAAATGCTTGTAAACATTAAATCTTAAGAAAAAAGGTTTTTGTTTATCTTAATTTTTATAAATGTTGATAAATAAGAACAAGTTTGATATATAATGATAATAATTTACATCTAGAATGATTGAAGTCAAATTTTTTGGACAACTTTTACCATCTTTTCTATCTGGTTGTTGGTAGCAGACAACTTCATGTATATATAGTTGACTCCTTTTTGTTGTTTGTTTATGTATTTAGGGTCAGTTAGAACTCGCCAAAGCTATGCCCGACCACAGCTACAGAATGGACACTCTGAGAATAATTTTCAGGCACCAGCTCCTCCTAATCCTGTTAACAATATAGTAATGGCTCCTCCACCTGCCCCCACACCTGGACCTCTTCAGCCAATACAGAAGGCTAACACAGGTGCCACTAATGCATCATATATTGTACACTACAATTATCATCAAAAGTTTACATGCCCCAATAGAAATTTCTAATTTCTGGAACTTTCTCAAAAACAAAGAATTGTAGAAAAAATCATTAATTTGTAGCAAAAGTTTTGTTTTTCTGGATGACATAAAAAGTTACAAGAAATGGATTTCCAGAATTATTTGTTTCAATGATGTTTTGCAAACTCCAAAACTGCTAATTCATATCCTTTGATGCTGTGATAGCAGCCCACAAAGTTCTTAAAATTTCAATATGATAATGCAGAACTAAATTGTAAGAAAGTCTAGATAATTGTGGTTTGTGGGTTAACATTCTTAGAGAGTATAAAATGGTTAGGCATAGAATGATTTCTTCATTACCAATAAGTTAATATGGGAAAAAGTAGAGAGTTATCTGAAGATCTTAGGGAGAAAATTATTAATTGACATAAATCGGGAGAAGGATACAAGAAGATTTCCAAGTATTTGAGTATCCAAATTTCAACTGTTGTTTCATTTATTAAGAAGTGAGAGACTCATGGGACTGTCACAATGTTCCCTCAGTCTGGAAGAAAGAAGGTTCTGCCACAAAGGACAAGTAGAAGAATTATGAGGAACTAAGAACAATCCAAGGATATTCAAAGGGATTTGGTTGAAAGTGGGACTGAGGTTTCCATTTCACCCATAGGTTGAGTATTGAATGTTGAAAGTCTCGATGGTTGCAGGCCAAGGAAGAAACCTCTCTCAGGAAAATGCCAAAAGGACAATTGCTTAAAGAATACAAAAAGCATTTGAATGATGGGTATGAGTTCTGATCAAAAGTTTTGTTGAACTGTTTAGTAATGATGATAGTTGTTACGTGTGAAGACAGTCTAGTAAGGTGTATAAAGGAAAGAATAATACAACCTACTGTCAAGTATGAAGGTGGTAATATTCTTCTTTGTGGCTGTTTTTCCTTTAATGGCACAGGAAATATTGTTCCTATACATGGTAAAATAGATTCCATAGTATATCAAAATATTTTAGTCCATTATCTAAAAAATTCCACTGCAAAACTTGGTGTAAGTAAGCACAACAGAATGTTCCACCATGACAACAGTCCTAAACACACATCAAAATCTACTTCAGAATGGTTAAAGAAGAAGAAAATTAAGTTTCTAGAATGGACTAGTCAAAGACCCAATATCAGTTCGATTGAGAACCTTTGATATGAGTTTAAGAAGGCTGCAGAACTGGAATGTACTAGAAGAATTTTGCATTGTAGAATGGTCAACAATCACTAATGAATCATGCCAAAAGCTTATTAACAAATATTCTAATCATTAAAAAACAAGTTACTATTGTTAGAGGTGATTTAACAAGCTATTAATTTAATTTTCTTTGTCAGAATATCAATAATTTTTTTAATTAGCATTTTTTAGAATTTTGCTAAAATAAATAATTGCAGAAATCTATTTCTTATAATTTTTTACCTCATCCCCAAAACAAAACTTGTAGTAAAAAAAGATTTTTTCCTATAACTGTGTTCAAGAAATTTCTAGGAATTAGAAACTTCCATTGAGGTATAGAAACATTTGATGACAACTGTATATCAGTTTATTTATATCTTTGTTGTTTTCTAAAGAAACAAAGATGTTATTCTCTATGCTAATCCTTAAAGTCTGTGAAACTATTTAGCAGCTTTTTAAAGTAGAATTAATTATTGTTCAGATATTTAATTGAAACTTTGATAACCTATTTGTTACAAATAGTACTAGTTCTAGTACTAATATTTTACTTTGTTTAAAATCTGTTACAGAATGTTTTTATTGTAATTTTTCTTAACTTTAATAATGTTGCACTACAATAAATATAACTTGGATTTAATCATTTAGAAAAGCTAAATAAGTAAATTTGAAGTATCAATAATAAAACCATTCTTGCTTACTAAATTTTAAAGGGCAAGTATTACTTGTATGGAAGCAGGGACCCTATTCTCATCATCAGCCATAGGAGAACTTGAATGAGCAAAATATTTGTATTCTTAAGTGTATTCACATCTTTATTGCACGGTTTTGTAAAACTCTTAAGATTGTTTTTGTGATCAAAATTTTTATCTTTCTTTCTGAGGTTAATTTAGCCAATAGAATCTCAAGATAAAGGAAATATACACCCACTTATAATTAAATCTAGAAGCCAGCTAAGTGCATGGGTTTTTGTAAAATACCCAGTAAAGAGCCTAATCTAAAGAAGGAAAACAACTGATAAAAACTAATCATTATTTATTATTGTTTTCTTTTCATTAAAACAAGTATTGAAAATAAATTAGAAATTTAAAAATAAACACAAAGTATAAGTGAAAGAAATATATAGGAATATACACAGCGTGGTCACAAGTAAATAGACACCACCTTTTCAGAAAACATGAAATTTTTCAGTCATATTCACATGAATTGATATGATTTAATTAATATCTAGTAGATCTTCCTTTCGCTTCGTGGAGTTCGTTGATCCTTTGGGGCATCGTGAGAATAATCTCGTCAATTTTAGATTGTGGGATTTTTTGCCCACTCTTGCTTC